AGGTCGGTGGGTGGAATTTTGTATCGGGGGGGGGGGGAGACGAGGAGTTTTTACTGTTTTAAAGTTTTATAGTATTTTAATTTTGTTTTTATGGAGTCATCCCAGGCCCTGTCGACGTTTGAGTTTCCTGGGGAGCGCGTGGGCGCCGCCATTAGGGTGGTCACGGGCATTGGACGTTACAGCGGTGGGGGCTTAATGTGTCCACGTAGAAGAAGGAGGGACAGATGGCTGACACCCGTCCCTCCTTCTGGTTTTACCCCCAGCCAGAGCGTTACGGGTAGTCTTGTCAACTGCCCCTTGGGCCTGACAGTGCTGCTGCTTAATGCCAGGTCGGTCCACAATAAATCTTCCCTCATCCATGACTTGATTGTGGATGAGGGGGCCGACCTGGCTTGCATAACAGAGACCTGGGCGGAAGGGGGAGGGATGTCGCCCTCTCTTAAATGTGTCCGCCCGGGTATCTGGTTCAGCACTGTCCATGCCTGGAGGGGAAGGGAGGGGAGGGAGGTCGCTTCGAGACCAGGGCTGGAGTGCCTCTATTTGGTGTTGGGCGATCGAGACAGATTGGGGATTCTGTTGGTGTACTGTGCACCCTTCTGCCCAACAGTCTCCCTGCCTGAGCTGACGGAGATTGTCTCGGACCTGGTGTTGAGGACCCCCAGGATGTTGGTCCTGGGGGACTTCAATCTCCATGCTGAGACCGGCCTGACCGGGGCGGCTCAGGACTTCATGGCCTCCATGACGGCCATGAGGTTGTCTCAACATGTCACCAGCCCGACCCATGAACGTGGACACACTCTGGACCTGGTTTTCTCGACGGGGCAGGAAGAAGGTGGTCTGAGGGTGAGGAATTTATGTCTGACACCCCGTCATGGTCAGATCACTTTCTCGTGAGGTTTGTGCTTGAGAGCGGCCTCTCCCTCTGTAAGGGTGCGGACCCAATTGTGTGCGTCCACCCCCCGGAGCCAGATGGAACTGGACGGATTCCTGAAGGCCCTGGGGGAGTTTCCGGCTGACAAGACTGGTGCTCCTGTCGAGGCTCTGGTCGAACTATAGAATGGGGAGATGACTAGGGCTGTTGACACGATCGCTCCTAAGCGTCCTCTCCCGCCAGGTAGAGCCCACTCTTCCCCTTGGTATACATCTGAATTGCAGGCGATGAAGCAGGCTGGGAGACGGCTAGAGCGTAGGTGGAGGAGATCACGGGATGAATCTGACCGAACACACTTAAGAGCCCATTATCAGGCCTATGCTGTGGCGGTGAGGGCGGCGAAAAAGAAATTCTTTTCCGTTTCCATTGCCTCCTCAAAATGCCATCCGGCGGAGCTTTTTTGGGTGGTACAAGGGCTGGTCTGTCCTGGCCCTAAGAAAGATCTGGTTCCACCCTCGAAGGCCCGCTGTGACGACTTTGCCAAGCATTTCAGGGAGAAAATCGCTCAGATTCACCACGAGCTAGACTCTACTAGTGATTCAGAGGCTTCTGGGGAGATACCAGTGTCGCCGTCTGGTCCAAAATTAATGGATGAATTTCAGTTCTTGCGGCCTGATGATGTGGACAAGGTGCTAGGATGAGTATGTCCCACCACTTGCCTATTGGATCCTTGCCCATCTTGGTTAATTAACAACGCCAAGCACGGGATTGGGATCTGGATCTTGGAAGTGGTTAACGCTTCTCTGAGTGAGGGTCGGGTACCTGCCCCTTTAAAGGAGGCGGTAGTCCGACCAGTCCTGAAGAAAGTGTCACTGGATCCAGAGATGGCCACTAAGTATAGACCAGTGGCCAACATCCTGTTTCTGGGCAAGGGGTTGGAGTGGGTGGTGGTAGGACAACTCCAAGCACTCTTGGATGAAACTGATTATCTGGACCCATTTCAGTCCGGCTTCAGACCCGGGTACGGTACTGAATCTGCCTTGGTCGCCCTGTACGATGACCTGTGCAGGGAGAAGGACGGGGGAGTGTGTCCCTGTTGGTTCTTCTGGACCTCTCAGCGGCTTTCGATACCATCGACCATGGTATCCTTCTGTATAGGCTAGCAGGATTGGGGGTCGGGGGCACTGCTTTGCAGTGGTTCCGCTCCTATCTGAAAGGCTGATTCCAGAAGGTGGTGCTGGGGGACTATGGCTCTGCACCACAGGGATCCATTTTGTCCCCTTTGCTGTTTAACATCTACATGAAACCACTGGGAGAGGTCATCAGGAGGTGTGGGCTGCGGAATCATCAGTACGCTGATGATACCCAGCTCTGCCTCTCATTCTCCACCAATCCAGGTGAGGCAGTGGCTGTGCTGAACCGGTGCCTGGCCGAGGTAATGGGCTGGATGAGGGCCAATAAACTGAAGCTCAATCCAGACAAGACGGAGGTCCTGTTGGCTGGTGGATCGGGCTTCGGGGAGGGTGAACTGAACCTAGTCCTGAATGGGGTTGCACTCCCTCTTAGGGACAAGGTCCGCAGCTTGGGAACGCTCCTCGACCCAGAGCTTTCACTGGAAGCTCAGGTAACAGCGGTGGTGAGGAGCGCTTTCTTTCAGCTTCGGCTGATCCATCAGCTGCGCCCCTACCTGGAGAACGACTGCCTGGCAACAGTGACACACGCATTGGTGACTTCCCGACTTGACTTCTGTAACGCGTTCTACGTGGGGCTGCCCTTGAAGACGGTCCGGATACTTCAATTGGTTCAAAATAGAGCTGCCCGTCTGCTGACAGGGACTGGGCATTATGTTCACATGACTCCAGTCCTCCGTCAGCTTCACTGGCTTCCCATTGAAGTCCGGGCCCAATTCAAGGTGTTGGTGATGACCTATAAAGCCCTAAACGGCTTGAGTCCTGGTTACCTGAAGGAGCACTTATGTCCATATATGCCCGCCCGTCCCTTGAGATCAGCAGGAGAGGCCCTTCTCCGGGAACCCTCCATGAAGGAAATTAGGAAGGTAAGTACTCGGAGGAGGGCTTTCTCTGCGGTGGCGCCCAATCTATGGAATACGCTCCCCAAAGAGGTCCGCCTAGCGCCGTTGTTATTTGTTTTTCGGCACCAGGCGAAGACCTTTTTATTCATATGTAATTTTTTTTATTATTATTATTAGAACATTTCTATGCTGCCCCTTGCCGAAGCCTCGGGGCGGCTTACAACACAATACAATACAATACAAAAATAACAATATAAAATTAAAATTAATAATATAAAATAAATAAGAAATATAAACGATATAAAAGAAGTTAGAAAAGTTAGAAAAGAAAAGAAGTCACCCTGGCCAGATAAATTGTTCATATTATTTATTCATTTTATTCTTTGGCCAGGGCGACTTAATTTATATTGTTTTATTGAATTCTATTTATTTATGGTTTGTGAGAAGTCCCCTAAATAAATAAATTAATAATAAATAAACTACACCAAGCTTAAATTTAGCTTGGGCAACTCCTCCAGCCAACAAATGATCAGTTACAGCAGCAGTCCTGAAGTTTCTCCTCCTCTCTTCCTGCTCATTTCTCCCTTGGGACAGCAAGGTGCACTAAGGGCAGCCAGCACAGATCACTGACAACCTTCCTCTGGACAAGACCAAGCAAAGCATGCTCCGCTGAATGCTGTAGCCATAGTCCGGGATAGAGGAGGGAATGTGCCCCACTGTGTGTGGCTTCCTGTAGAGAAAGCTGAACACATCACACTCAAAATGGCAGATAGAGAATAGCAGGGAACGAGCCAACTGGCTGGAGCAATCGCTGCTGCCCCTGCCTGCTATTTTGGGGGGACTGGGAAGAAGAGGTTGTTCCTGCTAAGCATTTCAGGTCACTTTTGCTAGCCTGCAAAGGCAGGCAAGGACAGGGCTGAGATCCTTTTAGGAGGGCTTAGGACTAGTCTTGCCCACCAGTTTTGAATGTCATGTCCTCCAATAAAAGTTGGCATGTTCATTTATGTTTGCCTCTTCCAACCCATTCAGCGAAAATAATCCTATATCGCTAGTAGTCAGGGCCTACAAGAGAAAGACATTGATACCAATCTCGAATACAAGTGGGATAAGTGGAGTTGCCATGTGGAGGCTCCTTGAAACTTGTAGTATTGAGGGGTGGTGGGGGTAATTTATTTATTTATTATATTTTAAAAATCTCAAGTTGGTTTACAAAAAAATGTAGTCATGTTGCAAGAAGCAGCCACTAAGTTTGTTCTCTCAAGTTCTGTTAAGGGCCAGTTTTACAATATATCAGATGGTTTACTGGAAATAACAGCAATTAAAAACTTGATCTTCTAGGTCTAGGACAATGCCTTTGATGAGGCTGCAAAGAGCACAGCCTTCAACCAGGTGAAACCAATAACTTGCTGAATAATTAAGTATTCATCAGGGGTACAAAATTGATTGTTTTCTTTTAACAACAAATACCAATTGCTGCTAAAAGTTAGTAAAACAGCAAAAACCAGAAGTGGTACGCTCTCGTATCACATAGTCTATCTGTAATTCTGCTCAAATTTGTTCCCACAGAGTGACACTAGATAAATCAGAAGTGAGCAGATGGTACATCTCTGGATGTTTGAGACTTCAGCTCCCCAAAGCCCCTGCCAGAATAGCCAATGGTCAGGAATGCTGGGAATTGAACTCTGAAATCTCTGGAGATCTACTTTCTGCCCAACTTGTTGACGAGCCTGAGAATTCCAATAATCAGCCAAATGTGAACAGCCATATCAGGTAAAGATCAATACATTAAAATCTGAAACAGAAAGCAACAAAATGGGAAGGCAGCAGTGTTTCAGGAAACTATGTGGGAAAACAAACAATCTTTTGGCACTTTATTCTTTACTACAGTCATGTGGGAAAGTGTCACTCTGTAGCAGCCATAGATCTTTTTGCACCTAAAGCAAAATATTAAAATAACACCTGTCATGCAGCAGGAATACATTTTCATAATGTCACCCAGAAATGGATATTAGATTTCTCTGCAACCAAATGCCTGAAGCAAGTGCCATGATGGATTGTCCTCTGTAAAACAACTCGTTCTGGAATCAGTTTACTCACCAGATTGTCTAACTGGTCCACTGTCTACACTACCACCAAATCCTGCTTTGTCACAAAAAGGAGGAGCCCAGTGGGCCTCACAGTGGCAATTTTTTTTATTGTTGCAGACCTAAAAAGAGGATATGCATATATGAGCCTAGAAAACAGTACATAAAAATGATCCCTAGCCATTGTCAGCCCAGTCATCCGAAAGCAAGAATAATTGAGAGGTGATGTAGACTATATCTTTCTAGAGGTACTTCGTTCAAAAGTACTTTGATCACTCTTAGTAGAACTAGAATAACCAAGTATAGTTCTAGAAAGCAGTTGTGGAATTGCAGAATGGAATGTCTAGCTTATTAGAGGTAAATAGAGGTAAAGGCTTGGGTTTGCTATGTTTTCTTGGGAGGATGCAGCTCCAGCCAGCGATCTGCTAGTGCTGTCTATAACATTCTGTTGGGCAGAAATTGCAAGAGAAGCAGCTAATTTTTTAACAACAACATTTGCCTCCTAGCGTGCTACTTTTTGTACAAATAGATTTTGAAATATAAGGGTCAAACATCATACTTACATGCCTCTTATTTCCTTAGCCCAATGGAAAAGTATACATTTAAAGCAGCATGGATTGTAAATAGCCAGCTGATTGATAATCAAATTAAGCTTGACTCTACAATCTAGCACAATCCATAGATAAGTAAGTGAGTTTTCAACTGCTCCCACAAGCTTCAGGAACTGAGTGACAGCAAGGAAGAGGAATGCTGTGAAGAAATCTGAAAGTCTCAAGGCACGCAAAGAAACTACATATGGCGAGTAGGTGACCTGGACGTTCAGGTGCTCTTGGGCATTATCACTTGCTGGAGTGAAACTGTGTGTATGTAACATTCCTACACTGCATAGCTATCATTAAGAGTTTCTGCAGAAGGCTTTCTATGAATGTGCTTGCTACAGGAACAACCCTGCTTGTTTCCAGGCATGAAGTGGAGATAGGAAATGTCTAGCTTATTCCCTTGGTGTTCTGTAACTTGGGCAGTTCCATTTTTCTCTTCGTCCTCTTCCTCCTTCTGCACCTAAGAAGTGAGGAATGTGTGCCTTTGCCATGACAGAAACATGTTACTGTATCTCGTGTTTTTCTTATACTTGCTCTCACATACTCAGGTTTAGAGGGGGCTTGTAGATAAACCATAGGAATTGGTCTTCTCTGACATTGTGTAAAAGAACGAGCAAAAGTAAATTGATTTGGAGCTGCTTTTAAGCCAAACTGCCTCTAGTCTATGATCATTGCTTCTAAAACCAAATGTTGTATTACTATGTTTTCTTTATATAAGGCAAACCACATCAGCAGCCCTCACCAACTGAATAAGGTAAAAGAATAGAATAGGAATAGAACAATAGAAACTATCCCACATGCCAGCTTTTTAGACACAATTTTACTCTAACTCTGATGGATGACTCTTGTGTGGTTTTGAGATTTTGCTGCCTTTGGTATATTAGGCTGGTTGTGTTTCTATCTGAATTGCTTAATTGCATTTTAATGTAAACTTCCTTTGGAAAATGAATGAAGGAAATGAATCAAATAAAAGGTCTTCATTTTTTAACTAGAAGGTAACACTTCTTAAAATGGTTTTTGAACTATCTCATTTGGGTTATATGTTACATGGCTGAGACCAGAAACAATCTGTTTGTATATGAAACACTAAGAGGAACTTCTTGAGTGAATGTCAGACTCAAAATAATAGAAAATAAAATAAAATTCTATTCCTTTAAATCACAGAACATTAATTTTTGGAAAGATAAGGCCATTGTGACTAGTGATATTCCTGTGTTAAATGAAAAAAAATCTTGCTTGGACATTGAAAAGGGCACTGAAAATTGATCTTTTGGCAAGACATGCTGAAAAGACTTTGACAGATATATTACAAAAATTGTAGATTTCAAAAGCTGTAACCAATGAATGATTTATTGCTCAGTTAGACATTGACCGACTGTAAAAAAATTGGACTCGTCATACTTACTCCACGTCCATGACATTTTGTTGCACACTCATGAACACCAAATACACTGGTATTTTGGCAGCGGCGGTTGAGGCAGATCTATAAAATGAGAAAAGAAGATTAGGCTTGTCATTGCCAGAGAATGTAGATCTGCACACATTAAACTGTATAGCATTCATTTTTATTTTTATTTTTTGTTTCTGCTGTGCGTTTCTAATTCATGTTTCCAAGAATTTACAGAAGCCTATTTTCTATGGTTACAAAAAAATCAATTCTGGTTTATTTATTTATTTAGGAAGCTTCTATGCCACTTCCATTCTTGAAGCCTCGGGGCAGCTCACAACAATAAATAACAACATAATAACAATATAAAAACCAGGGAGGGAGGGGGCTCAGATCCGGTCCCAATCCGGCGTTGCTCTCACCAACGCCAGCGGGGTGGGTGCAAGGATGGACGCGTTTAGATAAACATAAAAAATATGGCTTCTGTTAACAATATACTACATCAACAGAGTGCTACGTACCAGGATAACACAGTTTGTTGTTTTTACATGCTAATAAGTTCATGAACTTGACTTTAGCTAACTTTTTTGTCATTGAAGATTAGAGTGATGGGCAGCTGATTTAACACTGTAAATTGCTTTATGAATTTTTCCTTCACGTATTTTACATGTGTTTTCTGATAAGCAAACATATTAGTCAGTTGAACATCAGAGATGACTTGCTTAGATACTATTTCAGTAAGCCACCAAGAACTATTTCACACATTACTTACTACTGAACCCTTCAGCAAAGATATGTGTCATAGAGAGGCTGTGTGCCCTTTTATAAAGGAGATTCCATTATTTGAAGGATTCCCTGAGGACTATCCTCTATTTGAAGGTGTCCTGCACAAGAGTCTAAAAATAAAGAACTGTAAGAACTGTTACCATCAACAGTTGCCTGCCTCATCAGTTAAGTACCCCCTGATCACAGTGAGATTTACCCACTTTCTACTCAAATTAAAATAATAATTATTTTAAAATTTGCATCTACACATGTGAGATCACAATCCTATGGGCACTTCCTTATGCATCACTACCGGGGATAGAACAGGAAAAGACATACACAGGAGCCAGACATATTCCTCCAGCAGGAAGAGAGAGCTAAAAGCAAATGATGACAAATTCAAGCAAGGGCACCAGGTGAACATGCTGCTGGCTTTAACTTGAACAAATCTGTGTTGTTATTGGAAGAAGAATCACATCTGGATTGGTTGTTTTTACATCCCCTCCACTAATGATGCAGCCAAAAGACCCCTGGTGGTACTTTTTGGTCTTATCAATGGTGAACTAAATAATAATGTAAGAAACAGCTTGGCAAGTTGTTATGTTGTTATTATGTACCATCAAGTCATCTCTAATCTATGGCAACCCTATCAAAAATTCTCCAAAATGTCCTTCTCTTCACAGCCCTGCTCAGTTCTTGTAAATTCAAGGTTGTGACTTCTTTTATGGGACTCATCCATCTCATACTTGGTCTTCCTCTTCTTCATCTGTCTTTGACATTGCCTAGCATGATTGTCTTCTCCAATAAATCTTGCTTTCTTATGATGTGACTAAAGTATGACAGCATCAGGTTTGTCATTTTTACTTCCAGAGAAGGTTGTGGTTTTATTTGATCTAGGGCACACTTGTTTATCTTTTTCTCAGTCCAGGCTATTTTTACAGCTCTCTTTCAGCACTATATTTTAAATGCATCAATTTTATTCCTGACAGCTTTCTTTAGTGTACAGATTTCATATTCATACATAGTGAAGAATAACACAGTAAGTGTCCCGGATGTTGAAAAATCCTCATTTAGTAATATGTCTCAATGGAAGCACTGCATCTAGTTGTCACAGCACAAAATGGTCACTCTCGGATGGGTACAAATGTGAGCTCAGCTTCATAAGCAGCACAACAGCATATCCTCCCTTGTTCTATGTGCACTTTTTCTCTTCTCCAACCTTTTAAAGTGCCACATTGGTTTATAAATTCACCTTTCAGCACATTTTAGAAATTGGACACATTTGAAGCCAGTTGCCATACTGATGGGTTAGTAGAAGGGAGGTGTCATAGATCCTGGGCATAGAAAAGGTACTTTTTTGTACTGAATATAGCAAGAACGCTTCCAGACAAGCCCCACTACTCCAGGAATGTTACTCTTGATTTTAGTCTTATGGTTTTAGGTGGACAACCAGGAAAGCTGGCAAAAAGCTAGGTTTCTGGCTTTAATTTTCCAAAATAAGATTGTGTTATTCTTGTTGTAACTTTGGCTATCTGTCAATGATCACATTTAATAGATAGATAGATAGATAGATAGATAGATAGATAAACTTTATTTTTGTCAAAGATCAGCTCTGTTCAATAAATACATAGATTAAAAAAGTAAATACATAAAACATTATCTATATTAAATCCCCACTCGGATTAACAATATCAGTAATCTTAAATTGGTGACAATCCCAGACTTTGTCCTTGTCTGACTAGGTAGAGCCACAATCCCCCAGGATCTGTCTTTGGACATCCATTGCGGCCGCGAAGAGTTTAGCAATACTATATGTTATTGTTGGGTTAGTGTCAGCCAGCAATATATATTGTTGTTCCATAAGGCCTGGGAAGCGATTCGTCAGTGGGGAAATGAGTGCAGTGCAAAGATCCCTGTAGAATGTGCACCTCAACAGGATGTCCTCTGCAGCTTCTGTCTGTTCCATCCCACAGGGGCAAAGGCGCTCTGACCAGGGGATCTTTTCGTATTGTCCCTCCAAAACTGCTAAGGGGAGTCCATTAAGGCAGGCCAAGTAAAAAGCCCTTCTATGTTTATGGAGTTCCAACTGTTTGAGATACGGTGCAGCTTTTACAATATGTCTATAGTCCTCCCTAAGAAAGAATTCAGGGGCTCTATTGAGATTGCTTTGTCTTTCAATATCTGCAATACACTGCTTGATGGTTTCTGTTGCCTCTTCAAAACCCATATTTAGTACAGTCTGCAGGGGGAGGCCTAAGAGGGCTATTTTCTGCTCTATTGATTTAATCCAGTTGGATTTGAAGTCATCTTGCAGGATCAGTGGAGCAAGGCCAACTGGAAAGTATACCAATCTGAGCTAGTGCGCAAGATTGTGTTATTCTTGTTGTGACTTTGGCTATCTGTCAATGATCACATTTAATTGATCACCATGATTTTGCTAAAACATTGCCTGATTGGCAAAGCAGCCTTAATGTTTCTTTAATGATTGTGGATGTTTAATAAATAGGAAATTCACCTGTACAGGGAGAGTCTCAGACTCTTTCTCTGCAGGGTGTGTGCATGTGGGAGAGAAAGTGCTTTGCAGCAGTGCATTGACAGAGAAAGAAAGAACTTTCTTACCTCTACTTATGCTCTGCCTGTATAATTATACATACAACAAATATTAGAAAGACACTAAATGCCTCCTGCTTCTCATCCAAAGGATAAAAACATGTTCTGTCAACTTTACATCATCTCTCTGGAAAGTGATGTATATAACAATATGAATCCTGTAGTGACTGTCAACTTCACATGATGGAGAGGTGGGCAGACGCTTTGTCCTCAAACAGACAATGACTAGATTCTGTCAACATGATACTCAGGAATGAAGAGCACTCACGGTTTGTTGTTCAATTGTTCACAATGGTTTGCTATCTCACTTGGGTTCAAACAACACGATAACCCGTATTTCAAAAACAAACCATGGTTCAACAAGAGCCCATATGCAATCCATACTCAGTTCTTGCTAAGTATCGTGTTGTCTGAATCCAGGCAATGTAATCTACAAGAAGAGAGCTTCATGAAAATGTCCAATTTTGCAGAGGTGCAGCTTGTTCAATTTTTATTTTGGAAAAGAGAAAAAAGGAGGAAATCACATGAGTGTACACCTCATATACTGCCACTAATGGGTTAGAATGCAATAAGAGTGTCTTAGTCCCCACTAGGTGCAGAAAATTGCCCAGACAGCCCCAGGTAACATGTGACCTGCTTAAAGGCTCATCCATGCAAGTGAATAGACATCCAAACTGCACACTGTCCTTACAACTGGGTTTCATTTCATCTTCTTAAGACCCTGCTGGATTGCCAACAGCTTCTTCCCATTTCCATTCAAATTATCTCAGTTTAAATCTCAACAAGTCAGCAGCTTCTTACTGATTCCAATGAGTATATCTCCACTAAAGTACATTGAGCTAGGCAGTATCCAGTACTTTGTACATCCAAGATATCTTTCAACATCTTTTTTTTTTTCAAACAGCCATCACACCAAGTGGAAAACAATTTCTGAAACTTTCAGAAGCAATTTGTGATGTGACCCAGGCTGAGGGAACTAGTATTTAATGAAGGAGAAGGAGAACACATTAAAATCCCGATGACTGAATGCAAATCCTTGGATTCCCTGCTCTATCCCTCAGTAGTGCTTTTAATCCTGGCCACAGCCTGGGATAACTAGAAATGTCCACTAATGCCAGAGATTAATTTCAGCTCATCTATCATATTCATCTATTTGTGACAATACTCCCTCACACCAACTGACACACAGGGCCACTTTGCACAACACAACAGCCCACCATGGCATAATTTACCTTCAAGGAACTGCACCATGCTGGCTGCCAGTATGAACACACAACAACTTACTGGATTGTTGTTGGAAATTAATGTGTTTTCTGAACGCTAATATGGTAATTTGGCACACTTATCCCACCTCAACTTATCATTTATAATTCATACATTCAAGGATAATCTAAGGTTATGTTTATATATTTTCTTATGTACCTTTATCTTCCAACATAATATAACAAGCTATAACCAATATACATTAACACTATTCTTATACCATAATCCCAAATTTATAATTACTTGCTTAAAAATAGTTTACTAATATAGTAACATTCTTTATTTTACCTTTAGACTATTACTTATCTCCTAATCTTGGAGATAGGAAATATGGTTATTGGTAACCACAATCCAAATATTAACATATAATCCTACCCCTATATCTCACTTATTCAAGGATAGTACTTTACCATATTTATGAATTCTTCTATCTTCTTATAAGCTGTTATTTATCCTTG